TTCTTAGGTTTTCGCGATTGTTATACATAGGAATGAAACTATTTTTCCGGATTTAAATCGCGTATATTTGTTTTTTCAAACAAACAGTCAACCGTGACCGTGGGACCTGTAAAGGGCCCGAAACGTCGGTTTGTTTGAAAAAACAAATATACGCGATTTAAATCCTGAAAAATAGTTTCATTCCTATGTATAACAATCGCGAAAACCTAAGAACTCGATAAGGACAATTGTTTTGAATAGTGTTCTTTATAGGTTGTAGAAATCTTACGTATAGGTAGTTCCGTAGGTGCTCAACCCGTATGTGATAACAGAGCCAACCAGTGCCAAGGGCTTGTATGAAGCTAACGATTCCTACCTACATAAAATTTGAAGTCTGTTCTCGATGTGACAACAAATGCTGATACTGTCCCTGCGATTAAAACTTTTGTTCATCAACTTTTTACCCGCAAATTTTCTAAAGATTAAACTAAAAGTTAATAATATTAAGATTGTCCGAGGCGACATTTAGTTAGTAAACTTTGCCTTCGATACTTCAAACTGGTATTGGAAATCCTCTCCAGTAAATTAACATTTTTATGATATTTTACATTTACGGAAGTTTATGCATAAACGAAAAGAATGAGTCTATAAAACATTGATTACGTAATACGAATCTTTGGTGTTCTTCAACTCTGGAATACGAAAAACTTACGTTGATTTGGTAGTACGCCCCCATCGACTTTCACCTTTATATCTGAAACACAAAATACACATTTGCACTGAAGATTCGTTGAAATAATAGCCTGCCTAACCTAACCTCGCAACACTGTATTACTTAACATCACAAAAAACAACTTTTTTTCCATGACTTTTAACAAATTCATCGCATTTTAATATAAAAAATAAACAATATATTTAAATAGATCGATCCAATTGGTGATAATGAAAACTCTGTGCAAAACAAAACATCTGTGCGCGGATAGGGGTCAGGGAGGACGCTTGCACGTTTGAACTTATTAATTAACATTACTACCAGACTATGTAATAAACTCAGGTCAGAGTACTAAAAAACTTCAAAAGTTTGTGGAATTACATATATTTGCCAAGTTTTATTGAGATAGGATACCGGAAAGTGCTTGTATAGAGGTGGAATATTTTGTTCAAACTTAAATTTTCCAACAACAAAAAACTCTTTCCAACAAAAAAATAATCACGTTATCGTGTAACATACATACAAAAAAAACACACAGTCGAATTGAGCACCTCCTCGTTCTTTTTTTTTAAAGTCGGTTAAATAATAAAGTAAGCGACTTGTGTTTAGGACTTTGATGGGTTTAAAAATGTGCAAAGCGCTCCATTATAAATTGTTTGAAGTCGGTTACAAAGTGTCAGTACAACAAAAACCTAAAAGTTTATTTTTGATAAATTTGTTACATTATGTAAAACTTTAAAAAAGCCATGGAACGAAAGTTATTGTTTGTGATGTTAGTAATATAGTCCTACGAGTCTGTTAATGTTTTACAAATAATTCTGTATAAGTCCACTGCCGGGTACAGGCCTCCTGACTCAATGGGCAGGCTTGGGCTGTAGTTCCCACGCATCATATCATTAATTTGCTTTGCAAGTGTGTGCAGTTTTCCTCGAGATGTTTTCATTCACCGAAAAGCCCATGGTATATTTCAAATTAAATTTCGCACATACATTCCGAAAATACACTACAATACACTCCGGTGCAAGCCCGCATTCAAACCCATGACCCTCATGACCAGGACTCCGGCACTCGCTCAAGGTTACGGAATAAGCGCCTAACGCTGAGTGTACCGATGTCAGCACAAGTCTTATTTGTGAGCATTCGGCTCCGCATGACTGTTATTTTGTGTTATTTTCACCTCTCCGAGCGCGTGCTTAGGTTCCTTTGTCCTCGTACTGATGCCTGGTGTCATTAGTCAGATTTAGTAGGCCATTATAGCGTAGGTATTTTAAATTTTGTATGATAATAATAATAATAATAATAATAATAACGCACACACTCAACATAGCCCCGCACTAGGGAAACCCTGTCTCGCGGGTGCCATGGACACACACACACAGACAACCACAAATTACACCTAAACTTACGAGAGAAATAAATGTAGGCTATACAAATATTTCTCCCGGCCCGGGAATCGAACCTGGGACCTCTGTGTGGCAGTTATGATAGTGATGTATCTGTTACGTAGTAACTATTATGTAATCTGTGCCTCTACTAACTGAAAATCAGTGCTGGGTATGTCCTTGTTTATGTGAATTTCTTTTCAATTTTATTTTTGTTTTGTTCGTGAGTTTGTTTTGTAAGTATTAATTTATGTTTTACGTTTGTTGAATATTATTATTTTTTACTTATTTATTGAGCATTGGCTAAAATGTCATCAGCTTAAATAGGTAACAAACAATAATAAGAAACTCAAAATGTAATAATACTTTTAAACTAAAAGTTTATTTGTACTAAGAATAAAAACCCGCCATTTTTTTCTTTTTGTTGAATGTTTTGATTATATTTTGTTATGAGGCCTTGGCGGAACGAACCAACGGACCTTACGAATTTTTCTATGTATGTACTTACTTGTTGCAGGTCTTTGTTTTTAGTTTTTACATTTTTTCAGCCAAATCGAATTAATTTTCTTTGTGCCATAAGCAATGGTCGGAAAAAGGTGTTCCACATACATAGATATATGTATAAGTACAACTACAAGGAATGATATAGCGTTGTTAAAAGTACCAAATTTTAAACCATTACTTTTTTCCAATTCCGGATTTTCGGAAATGATTTTACAGCATCGTAGGACAAAACTGCTCGTCTAGGAAGTCAAAGTTGCTTTTTAAAGTAATTCTAGTGGTGCCATGTAAAAAAATTGCAGTAGATAACTGACTTGTTATTACAGTAAACCTGCTTGGTGGATGAAATAAGTGTGGAGGCATCTCTGGACGGACTCTTTCATAAGGAGTTCTACTGCTATTAAAATGATGGTAATAACGAAGACGCTAATAATGCTAATGCAGCTGATGATGCTTATATATAATGCTGATGGTGCTTTGATGCCGATAGTGCTAATGATTCTGATGGTGCCGATGACTTTGATGCGGCATTTTTTTACATGACAACACTAGAATTACTTTAAAATCCAACTTTGACTTCCCAGATGAGTAGTTTTGTCCTACGATGCAGTAAAACGATTTCCGGAAATCCGGAATTCGAAAAATGTATTGAATTAAAATTTGGTGCTTTTCACAACTCTATGTCATTTCTTGTAATCATATCTATACGTATATCTATATATTTGCAACACCTTTTTCCGACCATTGGTAATAACCAAGTAATAGGTATTTGTTCGTTTATCAGAAGTTTAATTTTCGGGAATCCAATCCTCAAATACCAGTTTAAGAAATAGAATTAAAAGGCGAAAAAATTGACTCCATAATATAAACCCATGCGTAAACTGGGTCACGCTGCCTGGCAATTTGTTAAATTTTAAAAAGTTTTGCAGGGTATACCCTCTATAACTTCTGCAAAAAATTAAAGAAACTTTTTACTGTTAACTCTACCCACGAGAATTTATTATTATACAGAGTATCCTATGCCGTGGCTATGGGACACGGGGGAAATATTATCAGTATTACTAACTTTTACTTTCCCTCCGTGTCCCGTAGCCCTCGGCCGTCCTGTACAGTCTACAACACTATCTCTTTCAGTCACATACGCCTATTAGAAACCTTTCAGCTTGAAATTATTTAAATACATGTACGAAACTAATACAAGTCAACAGCTACAAACCATCGTCTTCCTTCGTTCGCTGAGTGGGTTTCGGCTTGACGGTATTCAAGTTGAACTGATTCGCGGCTCTTCGCCAGATCTTGTTGACTTGGTCGGCGAGAGGCGAATTTACCAGCTGCTTTGCGATAGCCTGAACATCTTCAAGGTTTGCTGTTAGCAGTACGTAGGAGTTTGCCGTGTGAATGGTCAGAAATATCACTGGGGAATTTGAAACTGATAATAAGTAAGTATTATGTAAACGCCGCAACAATCTAAAATAAACCACATTCTAAGTTTGAAGTCCTACACAAATCAACGTTTTTTGATTTTGAAAACTTATACATAAATATAAATAACTAACAGCACGCTTTCTCAATGCAGCCACGTGTAACTTGCAAATAATAAGGTAATAAAATATTAGTTTAATTGTAAATATTTCAGTCGAGCAAGAATATAATTAAATGAAATAATAAAACTAACTACTTATAATAAAAACCCAAAATAAAATTGTCGTCAGAGCTTACAATTACTTGATTAATTAAAACTTACCTAGAAATGACACTATTAACATGTTGTAGGCAGCAGCTTCTTGTTTCAAGTGAATCTCAATTTTTTATTGGAATTTTTTTCAACTATAATTTGAAATTTATTATGTGTGAAATAATTATTATAGGAAACAGGTGAAAAACAATTACGATTTCGTTACTAATTACAATATTCTTGTAATTAAAACCATTTTTTATTACCTGTAATGAAAATTCATTACATAGTAACATTTTATTATCATTATATTTGTAGGATTTTATTGACAATGAACTTGGCAGAATAATATGCATTTATGGCTATGTATTTTCATCTTTAATAAGATAACATTATTTAGACGAGAAAACGAAAACTCTCCTTGTTTGACATTTGCATCAAAGTTGCCAGTTTTTTAACTCATATTACGGTGCGTGGCAAAAACGCATACCGCTATGCGATATACATAAAAATTGTATTTTGCTCATGCTGCTTATAATCAATTGAAATTAGCAGAATTAGTACTAACTCAAAACTATAAGCAATCTGAAGAATTGTTAAAAAGCGTAAATTAAAATATGTAATTTATGTTGGTTGTAATTTATATTGTGCAATTGTATAAAAGAAAATATTGTTTATTATTTTTTTTTATGTTACTTGTCTTTATAAATATATTACGTGTCTGTGGATAGCACAGTCCATATGTGTTAATGTTCAAATAATTCAATGGCTATTTTAACTTGTCTTCCGAGTGAAGAACCGCACAAACACTATAATACGAGTTTTAACTTAACTAAGTAGTTAGCAAGTTTATCTGTTTAAGTGACATCTGTATTTGAATTAGATTACGTGTCGTATCTAAAAAAACTAAATATTATTATTATTATGATTTTCTTTTCACCTATTGGCTGGATTTAACTACATTATGAACCGAAATGAAGTAAACGCAGAGTGTACCTATGTTGCAGGGTTGCGAGTGATAATAATCATTATGTTGTTAGTATTAGTTTAAGCCTTGGTTCAGTACTTATTTTTTATTATTTACAGCTCTGTTATAATTTTTTAAAGTTTTATAACAAGCGCAAACTAAAACAATGAAGCCATAAAACTTATTACGAGTGACCTTTGTAATTTTGTAGTAGTATTATAGTGCTGCATTTACATTGCAATAAATTAATAAAACTACTTCTAAATATGTAGCTCAAGCCAAGGTCAATACATACACAGATTATATCACATGATCTAGGGGTAACCTATGCTCAATTACAATTATCTGTTTCAACATGTAGAAATGTTTTTCTTAGAGTATACATATAATATACAAGCATTGGATAATTTGTCCACTGTCTAAAAAATTCATAAAACACACTTCAAATTGTTCATAACACCCGTAACGAAAAAAATACAACTTTTGTTATTGACTGACCTCCATTCTTCCAATTATATAAAGTTCCATTAATTTTTGCATTGTAAATACAGTATTATGATACTACAATACTCAAAATTAAAAAGGCAACACCATTGTTGCATGACATTGACAGTTTTCGTTCTTGTTTTTCGAATTCGATTTTGCAAATCATTTCAAGAAAATCACGGGATAACTGTGTGAATTCATCGAAGATGGACCAGGATACCAATTTGCAACACGAAGACCTGCTGATCAGGTTGAGGGGAAAACTCAATGATGAGAAAATAAAGCTATGGGAGCCTCCTTATGTGTTGCCGGATAACTCCGTCTCTCAGAGCTTGCAGGTTTCTCTTTGTTTACATTCTGTTAATCACGATCTTCGCAATACATTACACTTACTGTAATTTCATATTCAAAAGCTTTAGGATTTAAAATTCTAGTCCTAATTTCGTGGTGCCCGTGTTTTTTTAACAATATGAAACTAAGCGAGAATCACTTCACATTGAAGTTTTGAAATTGATTTTATGATTTGCCATAAAACGAAAAGTTTAATTTCATTATTGTGCAATAGCCTGGTTATTCTATAAATATGTTGTTATAAATTTTACTTCAGGAGTTGAACAAGCAACCGGCGATTGCCGGAACTGAATTTGTGTACATTTTCAAACACGTTTTAAGTAAATTATCGCAGTTTTTTATAACGACTTTAACTTCGTCAGTCCCTCATCCAGCCGTCCACCTATCTTTTGTGTCGTTAGGAAATATTTCCAATTTTGTTAAGAATTATGTACTCATACACTGACAATAAGTTAGTTGCGATAAGTTAGATGCTTAAGTATGTGGTACGTTGCCTCAACATGCGCTAGTTCATATTCAGTCTAATCGAAAGAGTTTTGCGTTGTGTTTATTCAGTCTTTGTTTCCGTAATAATAAGAAACTAGAGGAGTATTTTCACAACAAATATATGAAAATCATTGTAGTGATACTCAATAAAACCAAAAAATATTTTATTAATAGCTTTATCGTTTTTTAGTATCAATCACTCTAAATTAAACCCAAGCTATGAAAAACAAAATGAAAAATATTTTAAGGCATTCTTAGGTTTTCGCGATTGTTACACATAGATAATAAAACTATTTTTCCGGATTTAAATAGCGTATATTTGTTTTTTCAAACAAACCGACGTTTCGGGCCCTTTACAGGTCCCATGGTCACGGTTGACTGAGATGGTACAGTCTTCAACCAGTTATGTCTAATATTGATGCAAAACACCCTACTTTTTCATTATAGCTAGAATAGTTATTAATTAAATACCTTATTTTTAATTTTACGAAGAAAACATTCCAATTTACGCTACATTAAGTTTTACAAATTATTTTATTGAATGAATTTTTATTGACTTCAATTTATTATTAATTAATAATAGAAATTAAAATAAATTAAAACATATTAATCAGTACTGCAGTCTTATTTCTGTTTATTTTATATTTTATTGTTATTTTGGATATCTACTTTAGAATGCGGAGTTACTTGTTGGTCCAGATGACAATGGAGTGGAAGCATCACAACGGGAAACCTGTTTTTTAATTTTTTTATAATATATTTTGGTTTTGAGATCTACTCGGCAAAGGCAATATGATTTTACCAGGGGATTACATCAGGGACCAATGGAAAAAAAGAGGGGGGAGGTCTTGGCCGGCTAAGCTGACAATGGGATACAACAGGTTTATAATTGTGTTTCTTGGTCCAATTTTGTATAATAAATTAAACGCCCAACTGGCCATATATCATTTTTGTTACATAAAGGTTAAGAAAATTCTCCAAGAATTCCTTCAAAATATGTCCTATGATGATACAGAGAATTTATTAATTATCCCAAAATAAACTAACAAATGGACGTCTATGACGAATGACTATACCACCTTAGTCAATCGTGACCATGGGACCTGTAAAGAGCCCGACACGTTGGCTTGTTTCAAAAAAGACATATAGGCAATTTAAATCCGGAAAAAAACTTTCGTTTCCTATAATAATAAAATAGTTTATCACAACACATATATTGTAAACATTAAGTAGATTGCACATAATTTATATAGCATGGCATACTAGTGCATAGTGGCGCGAGATAAAAAGGTCTAAAACTCAGTAAATTGACAGGGATAACTGTCATTGTTCCTCTTTTAAGAATGTCGGTTGCATCAAATTAATAAAATGATGTATACATACGATAAATATATTATTATTATACAACCAGGCTGAACTTATTTTAGAAATACAAAAGCATATCTGTTTTTCATTTAAAATGTAAAGTATTTCTATCGAATCATCTGAAGAACAAAGTCCGATGTGATTATACAGCGAAAAGAGGTTAAAACATAATCTCGTTATTCAAAAGGCCTATCTAAAGGTGTTTTCAGATTTTATGCATTTATTTCGTTTCGGAAATATAAAATCGAACAACAGTCGACCTTGACTGTGGATATCTGCAGTCAAGAACAAGGAACGAAATGTACAATGTCCCGAGAATAAGCAGCATTCATTCATTTATTTATTTGCATTTCACATGGATGATAAACTTATACATGTGATACCCTGTAAGGGTGTAGCAAAGTTACAATGGAATTTAAATACATTGCAAGCTTGAACATAGTTAATTAGTTTAGATAATTAATTATATTATAGATTCTATAATTATTAATAAACATAATTATTACATAATATTTTTATCTTAAAATTAATTAAATTATTATTTTTATAATTATTAAACATTTTTATTACTATTACATTTAATTCAATTTCATTTATTGCAATTCACATTTTAATAAACCCAGACACATACATGTGACACCCCGTTAGGACGCAGCACAATTCAAACCTAAACCCAATGATACAATTATTTTAACATATATTATAATATATATTATTCGTACATTTATTTTATTATTATAATATATATTATTCGTACACTTCTTGCTAATAACAACCTTTACTGATTTGTATTTTCAATTATTACCTAAATTTCATGTAGACATGAAATCAACCTCAAATACATTTATAGCCAAAAAATTCAGACATATTATAATAGGTTTTTTTGTTTAGAAATTCCTTTAAACGTTTTTCAAAGACCGTGTCTTTATCCAAATTCTTAATATAATTTGGGATGTGGTTATATACTTTTATTAACATAGGGTGTGGTGCACAAGAAAATAATTTTAGGCTAGAGGGGGGAAGTTTAAGCTTGTTATGGTAACGATTATTACGTCTTGTTAATTTTATCGGAGAGTATAAATCTGCGTGTTTTTTAACGAACTTACAGGCTTCAAAAATGTATAGGCATGTTAGAGTCAGTATGTTAAATTTTGTAAAATACGGTTTACAGGAGTCCGTTTGTTTTATGTTGGTTAATATTCTGATCATTTTCTTTTGTAGAACAAAAATTTCTTGACAATACGAGCTGTTTCCCCACACTAATCTTCATCATCTTAACAGCATCTTGCACATACGTCATTGTTCTACGGATGAATCGATATCATTGCCTTTAGAAAAATTGTTTTTATTTACTATCCATTATTACAACAATTTAATTAACAGACACTTAAATATTTTTTTACTATAATATCATGACAAATAGAATGTCTTTTCAATTTTACCTTGTAAGACCCATGTTATAAAACATATAATAATACGTTTTTGAATAATGTAATTCTAGAATGAGTACTTTTTGTAAGCTAATATCAAAGTTGCAAAAAGATCATATCTGATAAAGATTACGGTTCATTTATTTCTCCAGTAATATATAGTGTTATAAAATCGACTAAACCAACAGTATTTTTTTATGGACATGGCAACATGGTAGAGTAGAAGCTTAGTATATAGTGTGACGAATGAAGAATGAGAATAATAAAATTATATCCTTTCTGTCTGACACTATATTAAATGCCCTTTGTTTCTTAGGTGTACCACTATAAAAATGTAAAAATTACTTTCATGAATGTTTTTTATTTTATCATTTTAATTAATAAAGGTACTTGATTAATTATGTTTTGACTGCTTAAATGTTTAGCCTATAAGTATAGAAAGCCACATTTCTCGAAAGTCTCGTTTTTCCTGAGATTTTTTGAGACCACACCATGTCACGATTTTTTTCTCACGGGATGCAGAAATGTAGCGAAAGTCCTAATCGGTACATGGTGTTATAGTAAAAAGCAACCATTTTTGCACTGAGCTACCACTAACCTTTTTTCGTTATTTTTTTTATTTCTGGGCCGTTGTTCAGTGTCCTGTACGCTGTAATATAACAAAATATGACTATTTGGATATATCATATACATATATATCAGCTGTTTCGAACTCTAGTAATTGCGGCAAGAAAGAATAACTAATTATCCAATTTCAGGATCTAGCAAAAAAGTACGCAACAGAACTCTCACTAAACTACGACACAATACTGACTGCTTTACACGAACTACAGTTGCACTCGCTGGACCGCTTCAAAGCCAATGACCTATTCAAGGAGACTGGTTATGCTACTTTAAGGATAAAAGCCACGTTGCCTGGAGAGCGCCCAAAGATCATGAAAGTGCAGAAGAAGTTGGATATGATGGGCAGTGAGCTTATACAAACTGTTGCTACGGAGATAAATGTTGAGGAGTCCAGGTAATATATTTCTTCTGCATCTCTCCTTATTACTCCTTAACAGCCTTAGACCACCTATTGTACAAGGCATCAGAAGAGAATGGTCACAAAGAATGTTTTCAGATCATATAGAGAATGTTCTTAATAATCTGAGTAGGATACTGAGTGAAGCAAAAGAGATTTGCCGGAGTTGTGCAAAGTGGCGTACAAACTCTGCCTATCTTGATAAGACGTGTGAGTGTATACAGGGTGTAATCATTAAGTGCGCTCATGCGATTATTTCGAAAATATAAGATATAGATATCAAAAACCTTTAAACTGATAAGGATAACTTCAATATATTTCTTGTCTTCACATGGCACATAAGGTCTTAAAATTAAAATAATGTTACACATATGAGCCCTGTCTTAGGGATAACAATAAGACCAGGGGAAGGCCGAGGCTTAGATTAGTCATTTGAATCCTTCACTATCAAATGTATACATAATAAGAAGTATGGCACTGAGATAGTCCCAATGAAATTAAATTACAATAATATGAATATATAATGTAACATAATTGAAGGTTTATTTATTAATTTTATTAAAATTTGATGCAATAATGTCGTATTTTGTCATTAATCACTTAAGTTGTAGTAACATTTATTAATTAGGTATAATTTCAATTTAATAACAAAGAGTGATTTTTTTTCTCGACCTTAATGATTGGCGCGAGATCGTTAAATATGTTTACCCACATCGAACTTGTTAAAAATAAAACTTTTAATGTTAAATGTTCTCGAACACCTAATAGGACATTCGTACAGAGGCTTTCGAACAACTGCTATGACTACAAAGTTTTGTTATTACTTAAAAATAAATATCATTTTTATTCCATTAAAATATACTTTTATTTATAGCAGTTTCGTTATCTATAAGTTTATTGTTACCTCTTAAAGTAGGTCAACTAAAACTACAACTACTTGACGATTACACCCTGTGAATATCGTCTTGCTTTATTCTCATATACATATTTACATTACTGCTGTGTGTTGTTGGAGATAATGTTTAAAGTGTAATAAAGAATAATTCAATGATTTATTCAAACTCTATATTGACATAGCATTCATAAATGCGAAGTCTGTTTTTTTTATATCCATTTTTTATTGAAGCTTTAGCCACCTTGAGAGACTATGTCAGCCTCATGGGAGGAATACTGAGTTCCCTACTCAAGGGACATGTTCAAAAACTTGGACAAGTTTAGAGCTCCATTACATACAGGCTCTCTGAGTTAACAATTTATTTGTCCATAGCATAAACTTACATTCCCAAACATTGTACCCCTCAGGGTTATGTTACGGTTACATTCCACCAATATATGATACAGATCCTCTATTTTATTGCAAGTACTGCACAATGGGGATCATGGATCATCTGAAAAAATATTATTTGGATTGTGACCAGAACACAGTCTAAAGCCGATATAAGATATTTCCTTGCTATATTGACAGAATCAAACCAGGGGACCCACTGTGGATTGCCCTGGATGGTTCTGTACCATATTCCAAGGACTTTATCCACTGACTGTTCTCTGAAATGATATTCCCATTTTTCTAGAGTTCTTTTCTTGATTAGTGGAATAATCTCGGTGGCATAAGGCCTACAACCGAGTACAGTACCATTTTCAGCAGCTGATTTTGCAAGAACATCAACTTCTTCGTTTCCGTGCAATCCCACACGGGAGGGAATCCATTGGAGCTTTAGACACACACTTCTGCGGTGTATGTTGTGGATCAACTGGAGAGCCTCATAGGCTATCTAAGGCTGTTGTAACATCATGTAACATGGCTGTAATAACTGCAGGGATTGTCAAGCACTTGCATTCATTATAAGATTTTTTTGCATTTGTACCTTTACCTAACATGGCCTATAATTATTACCATGTTGCAGTGTTACAATCAATGTAAATGTTTTGGGCATATCGTGTCACTTACCTTTTCTGGCTAAGCAACTGCCTTTAACGTATGTTTTTGTCGAAGAGTTCTAATAATCTAGTTTGAGAATAGGCGATTGTCACAAATCAATTTTGTATTATACAGAGTAAAGCTCATCTTCAACGGCAAAGTGATAAAGCCAACACCAAACTTAGAAGAGCAAGGTGTCAGGAACGGAGTACAAATCATGGCTCTTATTATGGCAGGTATGTAAAATTGAGAGTGAAACTACTGCTACGGTACAAAATACGGCTATGGCTCGACCTCCGGAAATATGTAGTTGTAGTAATGTTCAATTTCATGGTTATCTTTTTATTTAAGACGCCTTGTTGTTCCGAAGAAAACAATCCTTATGATTGAGGCTTTCGATCAGTATAGTAAATCTTTGAATGCAGTTCCACTTGTTTTTAAAATCACAATGAAGTCTTCTTTCAGTAAAATTCTATCTGCGGTATTTAAGACACTTTGCCACCGTGTAGGACAGTCGTGAGACGCCCTGAATTGCAAAATTATTGTTTTCAACCGACCTGAAGCTGACATTCTGATCACTTATCAACTCTGTCATATAAATATATTTATCAATTCAAAAGTATAAATTAAAAAGAGACCTCTGCAATCGTAGTATTAAGAGAAAGAGTAAGTTCTCTGTGGTGAGAGACCTGGTATCCTATATTACAAGCTTATGCTTAGTTTAGGTGTAAGTCTTTTGCAAACATAATATAAACACTATTTTTGTCTATCTTTCTTTTGTCCATGTTCAGTTGTTATGTTTGTGGAGAGAAATAAATATATTATTATTATTATGCCATTAAGTAATTATTTTATAAGGACAAGTAACATATTGTTTATAGTAATTCGTAATAAATAACGAACGATTTTGCAATGACAACCTAATAATAAAGGTGTGCTTAAATATACTAATATACTATTATTGCTATATAGTAACCGTATTTAAATGGAATATGATCTTCAGAAAACCCGGAGGAAGTAAAAAAGGAGGATACAATGTATATGGAAATGAAATCAACCAGGGACGACGCCATGCTGCTTTCGGAGTGTATCGACGATGTAGCCGAGGACGACGATTATATGAAGGTAACATTGACGAACTCGATAGCCCCAGGTTCAAATCCTAATGCCTTAGAGTGAATGTCTTTACTCGGTAATTATAGTACAGGCAATTCCCTAATTCGAGTCCAGGTAATACCAGTAAGACTGGTGCTGTTTTTGGTGCACATTAATATTCTTTTTAGGAGATCATGCCAGTACTGATATATTGTAACATTTTAGTTACACTGGAGCTCCTTATGAAAGTTTATCCAAGAAAAATTTTTTTATAATACCATGTGACGATACGAACAAGACGTGGCCTGCTGGTAAGCGACACGCCTGTCCATAACAGTTGCAGTGACACTCAGCGCTTTAAAACGTAAAGATTGGAGGGGTACTGCGCCCGTCAACCTGAGACAAGTTGACAAGTCCCGTGTGCCTGTAATTTCACCAGCACCCGTACTTGGCGGCAGAAATAGGCAACAGCTCCTTGTAAAAGGGTTCGTCCAGAAAAGTACTGCCACCAAGTATTTCTCTCGCCAAGTAGTAATGCGAGCATTGCTACGTTCCGGTTTTGAAGGGTTAATGAACTTGTTCTTAAATATCGTTAGAAAAATCTTGTTGAAATTATGCCGTGTGCAGCGTGACGTAACTATTACGTAAACTGCCACTCCTCCGGCACCGCGCAGGTACTTCAGGAACCGACTCAGTTAAGCGGTAGACCTATACATACCTCATTCAGCATCAATTTCAGATTCTTGACATTGTGTTTTGTCAAGTATATGACAAAACACAATGTCAAGAATCTGAAATATATCATATCAGACTGATTACGAGATTAGACCCTCTGATCTTGAATTTACTACTCCAACTCGAATCTTTGTAATCTCTCCTTTCAAGTCATTGACTTACAATTATATGGACGTCGGGTCCGCGCTAAAAAGTGTCCGAACTTATAGGGCGTTAAAATCGTATACAGAGCGTCATTCACGCTTTAGTCTTCGTTTGTTCGACTGACAGCGAAGCAAGCAAAATTAGACAGTACTGCGATGACATTACAATTTAAATCTAACGTTTTAGCTTTTTCATATTCCTTTACATGTCACTACGTTTAAATAGGTTGACTTGGGACATTTTTTTCGTGGTTTTTGTATTAGACCCGTCGTCCATTTATTTGTAAGTCAATGTTTCAAGTAAAATAACCATTAGGGATGACACAGTTATTTAAATAATTAACTACTGATAATTTTTATGTTTTTTCCCAGTGATTTAAAAGTTTCATTTAATAACAAAATCATCACTGACATGACTTTGAGATTAGTAATATCAATAGCTAAATCGAATTTCGAAATAATACTGAAATTATGGTACCTGTGAATAGTCTGGGGTGAAACCCCTGAAAATGATAATGTTCTTGTTTGTTGACATTTATTTTACATTAAATTTGGCTAGAGTAGATGTTTGGATATGAATGGAAGAGTCTATTTACGTTTTATAGACTATGAAAAGGCATTTGGTAGGGTTCGCCATGGACACCTGATTCAGATTCTGGAATGTATTGGAATTGACAGACATGACCTTAGAGTTACAACCAATCTGTACTGAGCTCATAAAACAATGGTAGAAGTGGAAGACCAACTATCCAAAGTAGCTGAAATCATAGTACAATCAACAGCACGTCAAGCTTTACACTTTTGTTAGAACATCGCCACTGCAACGGAACAAGATCCGTCATTGGATGCATTGCGTCTGCGTTGTAAAATTTCCGCGGTAACGTAAATTGAGTCCAAATGAAGTCGCGTTATTAATGCTCTTGTCTTAACTTCATATCGCACCCTTCATGGAAGAATGGCATAAGTGGAAATACGTCAAAAACGGAGTTCACTTATCTTAAAAAATGAAACAAATGTACATAATGTTCTATTTTAAACAATGCCACTAAACAACACCACGCTTGAATAATATTAATTTTTACAACACAACAAAACGTGCGCGAAGAAAATACGGTTTGTTTATTTGACGGATAAAACAGACCACAGCACGCGGAGACGGGGTATAACGCATACTATCATCTTAGCCCCGCACTAGGGAAACCCTGTGTCGCGAGTGCCATGGACACATATATAGACAACCAGAAATTACACTCAAACTCATGAGAGAAATAAATGTAGGCCATACAAATGTTTCTCCCGGCCCGGGAATCGAACGTTCGAAGTTCGGCCACGGAGACAGTTAAAGTTAAGGCAGGTGCAGTAGTCGCGCCTGGCGGCGTCGTGGTGAATGTTCACCGATCCTACGGCGCCGACTCAACCGGCGAGAGGGAAACCCGGGGGGGGGTTTTAGTGGGGTAGGCCCTCCAGTCTGGAGGGAGAGTCCCCACATAACCCCTGAGTCTCCCTGGGCTCAGGGGTATCCATAAAGATTTCCCCCCGTCAAAAAAAAAAAAGGTGCAGTAGTCGCATCGAGTATGCACGGTACGGCAACGCCGCTCAAATCTTGCTAATTTTCTCTTTCGCACTCATTGAATTCAGTACAGAACTTCGTAAATAACTTCGGCTCATAGGAGAGCTTCACTCCACTTCCAGGGTTAGAAAAGCTATAAGTACTATATTAAAGAGAAAGATAAAAATCTAATTGTACGTTTGTCGTTCATTAATAATAATAATCAAAAAAATACTGCGACTACTAATATAATACGAAAGCTTAATTAATAATTTCATTTTGGCGGGTTGGATAAGAGTGGTAGTTCACTGCACCAGCGCTCCTTACGACGAGCCGCCTCTGGTTAAAAATGTTTATTTCTCGATCAGATACAAAAAAATGTAACCCACATCCTCTCAAATTCCTGTAACTCTACGATATTAGTCGATAGAGTCTAACGGAGCAATAAACGATATCTGCTCACTGTGAAGTGGGCAGAACGCTTAACAAGACACGGCAGCCGCGTTGCAGCTGGAGGACCAGGCGGGCAACACGGTGCAGCTGCCGCCCACCGAGCGGCGCTCGCTGCTGGTGGGGCTGGCGCTGCACGAGCGGGGCCGCGCCGCGCTCCGCCGGAAGCAGTACCCGCTGGCGCTGGTGCTGTACCTCGAGGCCGACCGCATGTTCAAGTGAGCCCCGCCACATTAGGAACACACTTTAGGAAAGCTCGCCTTCGACACAGTCCACAAGGACTGAACACCCAGAAAGAAAGAAAGTAGTTTATTTGTTAAACTTATGACAAATTTATACAACAAAATGATAACAAAAATAGTCTTATGATAAAACAAAATAAAAGAATTACATTTAAGACGCTGGTTTTCAGTGAAGCCGAATAAATTACAAGGGTGATGTCGCTTCTCCAAGCAGATAAAATCATTTAAAAAAATATAATAGACTTAACTAGGCGTAAATCAAAACTTAAATGCAAATCAAGATGTAAAAAAGCAAGCTATAAAAATGGCTGTACGTGTAGAGTAGGTGGGATGTATTAAAACCAAAACTGATTGTGCATGTATTGTGCTCTCATGTATGTGGTTGGTAAATTAAAGTTAGCAGTAAAATGTCAAGAAGGCACAGTGCTACACACCTGAGAAAATAATAAACATTTCTTAAAAGATGATTTGAAAGAGACAATAGCTTTACAGAAGCAACAAGAAAGTTCAAAACCCTTGGGAAATGCAACCGACCAACCCTAATAGGACTATCGTGGCGGAATATCTAAGCCCTCTGCTTACAGAGGACCCGTGCCCAGTAGTGGGGCCTATAGTGAGTTGACCACGATGATATATCGTAGCCTGTATAGTCTCATAATGTTGAAATTTGACTGGTGATAAAAAACCAGCCTGTATAACTTGTCAATAAACGTAGAGTACTTTGACACCCAGCGAGTGCCGCTCGTCCCTCCTGAAGACCGTAGACAACTGGGCCCTGCTGCAGCTGGACATCGCGTGGTGCTACCTGTGCCTGCAGAGCCTGCAGTCGGCCAACGACGCCGCCGCCCGCCTCGCCAGGGCCGAGGAGTCCTTCCGGGAGAGCTACGGCGAGAATCACCAGAGGCTCATAGCGCTCAAGGGCACTGCCGGTTAGTGTTAGTGGCACAAGATAAGGATGCGGTACTTTCCTGGTAATTTTCCTTATCGGCAATTGCGGTTTCTCTGATGTCTGCAGCGTCCATAATTCTTGGCTCTAGTGATGAGGGGTACAAGTCAAAAAACACAACTTTACAATGAGACGCGAAAAATAGTTAAAGCTTAATTTCATATTATATTATATTTCATATAAATTTAACTGCCTCTGTGGCCGAACTGTTACCATGCCGGACTGCCACGCAGAGGTCCCAGATTCGATTCCCGGGCCGGGAGAAGTATTTGTATGACCTACATTTGTTTCTCTCGTAAGTTTGGGTGTAATTTGTGGTTATATAGACGTATGTGTGTCCATGGCACCCGCGACACAGGATTTCCCTAGTGCGGGGCTATGTTGGGTGTGTGTGTTATTATAATTATAAAATTATTATAATTATATAAGCGTTAAGTTATATCGCGTTTCCTTCTAAAGTTGAGATTTTTAACTTGTACCCTTTTTCACTAGAGCCACAGAATTAACAGTGGCTATTGATTATCTATAAAAGTACGATATGGTAGTTCACTAGGAGTATAATTGCTTCTTCAGCCTTTGACCGCCGTGGATGCTTTAAAGTGTCTTACATTAACTTGTCTGATACGCCAATGATGCCTTATGGCATCGCTACACTTGGGATTTATAGGCGATTGCATCGATACAATCGCGCGCTTGCATCGATACAATCGCTCGTTTCACAAACGCGCGTTTGCATCGTTACTTAAAATTTTTCTTCAAACAACAGCAACATACAAATTGACATGAAATTGAAACGGTTGTCCGAAATATGAGTTGTGTTAAAGTTACTCGAAATAAAATGGTTAGTAATAATAATAATAATAAAATAAAAGAAATCAATTTAACGTGAATGCTTTTCGCTTTCATATTTTAGGGGCTTTTATTACAAAGATCATGGTAAGAAATTCAAATATTTCAGTAAAAATTTTTTGTCGATAAACATCAGTCGTTAATGAACATCGAGAGTCTAAAAATTTCTATGAAGACAAAAAGAAAACATTGAATAATAATAGAAATAGTAACTAAAAATGCAAATAGCCGGTGGAATGTTATCTTACTGGTTTTAAAATGTTTGTTTTCACACCAATTTTTACAAGGTGTATCGCTACAACTTGGCATTTTCACGTTTTACGAGAGATCTTGTATGTACAACGATCGCCATGTCACTGTGTCGATGTTTGTATGCGTGTTTCGTCGATATGATCATTTTAATCATATCGAGGCGACACGAACCACGCCCCCATACCAGATCTCCCCTTTTTTTCTATATCTGTGGTTTATACTAACACTGTCTCTTGTTACATCTCCTGTTATACCATGTTTTAAGCAAATAAACCTATGATAGTAATATTATTATTGATAATATTACTACTTTAATTTATTTCTAAAATTAAATGGGAGTATTAAATATTCACTTAAATCAGTCACTGATATTAATTCTATACCAATGCATAAATACATAAAAGCTTACACTTTTTGGAATTTGTTTAAAAATTATTCTATGAAAATATGAATCTTGACATTGGAAATGTACAGGGTTTATATTTCAAAGTTAACTCTCAAATTACAAATATTATTTTTTTCTGTGCAAATTCACTTTTAGTAATATTTGAGTATTTGTAAACGCAAAACAATTCAAAATTTAATGTGACATTCCCGGATATTCTCGTAATAACCTAAAATATTCCCAAAAATGAAATATTGATCTACTTTAATTAAATGTTTGCATGTCGATAATGACTTATCGATAGATAATGGTACGACACTAATGGAATCCGTCATTTGTTCGTTCAATTTTTGTTTAGGCATGCACGTTCATTCTTTAGTTAGGGTAGCTCCTTTCTTTTACTTTTTTCTCCATCCTTTAAGATTAAAACCCAATTAATCCGCTCGGGATTTAACTGGGTTTTTAGCCAAAGTGTTAATGGTTTTTAACCCGTTTCGGCCCAAGGAAACGGCGATTATGGAATTTACCAAATTCGTTAGTTTTATACTTATTACAAATTTTGATGTAAATAATTTTTTGTAGACGAAAAGAGGTAACTCCATACAAACCAACTTGCAGTCCTGTGAATTCTCACTTCTCAGGACAGACATTACGATTATATTTTTATGAAAATCTATTGAAATGATTCAACGACACGGCAAATCGTATCGTCTAGATTAGAAAGCAATAAATATTTTCTAATAATGTCATTAAATTTGAACAAAACTCTATTTACAATAGACATTTAGGTGTAAATAGTTTTTGCTCTCGGGTTCAGGCACTAATGGGTTTTAACCCGATAAAAAGTCGGCGTTAACAAAGCGCCGGGATAAAACCCCGGTGGTTGCCCAGCCCAGTATAGGCTTTCGTATAAGATTGGCCGGAGAGAGAAACGTTGCCCTGTAGTGAAACAGTGACCGACCGGCGTCGAGGTGCCGAACCCGTCTGGCTCCGCAGCGAACGAGCGCGTGCTGATGATGCGGCTGTACCTGCTGCAAGGCATCGTGGCCTACCACCAGAACCAGCGCGCGGCGGCGCGGCAGCTGCTGGAGCGCGCGGAGGCGGAGCTGGGCGCGCTGCGCGTGGACGAGGCGGCGGCCGCGGCGCTGCTGGAGCTGGGCTGGTCGCCGGCGCAGGCGCGCGGCGGGCTGCGCGCGGCCCGGGGCGACGTGGACGCCGCGCACCACCTGCTGTGCGCGCGCCGGGACCAGCGCGACGAGGCGCGCCGCCAGCACGCCGAGGACAGGTCCGTCGCTCCCTCGCTCCCTCGCACGAGACTGCGTAGTGGGTGCTTGGAGTTATGGGTCTCGTTTTCTAACAAATTAACAAGCTGCAGTTTATTCAAGCGATTCCTTATTCCTAGTGATAACAAATTAGTTGACTAGATGGCGCTTCCTGCACAGATTTTTATGGATAATGTCGGCTATTCTTTTATTTTGTTTAGGACCAGCACACTCTACCCATATTACAAAGCGTTAGTTTATAAATCAGTTTGTAACATACAATGCCATCTATTAACATACATATTTACAGAAGGTTGGAAACTAATTTTAGGTCATGGTTAATCTTTTAATAATATAAACTACTTCTAGGCCATTGACCAACGCCATCTAGATGTAAGACGGGATTTTGACCTTTTCTAGAGCTACGATCTTGTAGTATAGAGACTAGCAGTCCTCTTCATTTATTGATCCATGCTAGAACTCATTACCGCAAAGAAAAAATAATAAACAACAATAACGAAGTAGCTGTAAAGGTATCTAACTGGGTTACCAACTACCTAAGTCGTTGAAAAAACCAAATACAAAGACACGACAACAAGCACATAGAAAAATTCGTCAGATCCGCAGGTTCACTGCGTTGCATAGTTGGTATAGGTTCTGGCACGGTATGCTAGAAGACGTCGGTTCGAATCCGGCCGGATCGAAGGAATTTTTTCTGAGTGTTCGATCTTTGTATTAATAATTATAACAAACTAGTGGAATAATTTCACATAAAAAATAATTAAATAAAAATTGAAACAAAAGGGTTGAAAGTACAACATAAACACCGTGCAGTAGTCGCACCCGCAGTCCGCTTCGTTGTGTGCTGAAGCGCGTGTCCTGCGTGTCCGCAGGCAGGCGCGGCTGCTGGGCGTGTGCCTGGACGGGTCGGCCGTGAACGCGCGCCTGGTGGACGGGCTGGTGGCCATGGGCTACGGCCGCCGCCTGGCCGTGCTGGCGCTGCGCAACGCCAACAACCACGTCTCCGACGCCGTGCGCCTCATCCAGGACCAGCCCGACATGGTGAGCTTTGCTGCGACCGCAGAACAATACATGCCGAAGTGCCACAAGTAGGTCTCGTTAGACTTACTTGAGGTCAGGCCGCCATTTTCGCTTTGTACGGTATGGTCGTGTCATTCTTTCGCGCAAAGTCTCTAAAATCGTAGAAAAATGCTGTTTATGAGTGCAAAAAAATAGCCGCACCAAAAATATTACTCGTAGTAGTATTTCATATCATCATTTATCGAGTTTTTAGGTTTTCGCGATTGTTACACATAGGAAATGAAACTATTTTTCCGGATTTAAATCGCGTATGTTTGTTTTTGCAAACAAACCAACGTTTCGGGCCCTTAACGAGGTGATAAAGTCGTTAACCAGTTATGTCTAATATTAATGCAATTTACCCTATTTTTTTCACTATAGTCACAAAAGTTGTTAATTGAATACTTTATTTTTAATTTTACAAAGAAACATTCCAATTTACGCTACATTACGTTTTACAAATTATTTTTACAATATGATTTTTTATTAAGTTAAATTTATTATAAATTAATAATGGAAATTAGAATAAATCTGTTTGGGATTTTTCATCAGAGGAAATACTGGACCCCAGACTGGTGGTAAAGAAACCATCTTCCCTGTTCAAATTTTCAATTTTCTGTTTATCGAATTGATTCTTTGTACACCACAAACGAAAATAAACATTATCTCTGAGCAATATGGTTGAGTTGTATCTTTTGGAGAACTAAGTAAACATCTTGGAATTTAAAAAGACAACTGTTGTCGAGAAGATACTACTTTCTATTCATTCGGATGTTACTCGTTCGTCGTAGTTCAACTACTAATAATAATAATAATAATAATAACGTTTTTTCCTCCACAAAAATACGTACATATAGTTCTTAGTAATTAAGATACATCCAATAACTTATTTTTGGGAGCTGGTGCTTGTTAAAGGCTTAACGCCTGTACTACAAGTCACCAGGCTCTCACCCTTGGAAATGACACATGACAATCTTAAGGTATTACTAAGATTAATTGTTTATAAAAGAAAAACATTTAAATAGTACTGGCCGCAAGATGGCAGCACGTTAAATAAAATTTCAATATAAAATCAAAACACCGTAACTTGCAATAAAGGTGAATTTTCAACGATACAGCGACTGGGTAAAGTTTAAGTTATATTAACAATCTAGAATATGTTATATCTTTTTAAATTAGAAATTATAACCAATCATTATCAAGATTTGTTTATCATTCGCTTGTAATCGAGGCTTAAGGCACTTCCGTAGCTGCGACCGACAGACGCCTGCCATTTAAAAGAATTGTTAACTCTCCTTTAAAACGATACCTCAAATAGTATTTTATGCAATAGTTGCATAAAGTCGAATACCGTGTTTAAGCTAATAATAGGTACGAGATTTTAAGACCTAATTATGTGATACTTTTTCTGCGAGTAAATTAAAATAATGAAACGTAACCGATATTTCAAGTTAATTTTCTTAACAATCCACGACAACAAACGCAAACGAAAAAACCAAAGAGATAGATGTGTCCGTGATTGGTCCAGTACTGCCTATATTTTAACCAATCAGGAGGCATCAGAGCGTTTCAGTTGCCTCATATTTGATATATGAATTAAACAAAATACGACGTTCTTTTTTTGAAACTCATAGTTCCGTTAATGACATTTTTCATTTTGGACCGAGCGCCATTGACAATAGAACTTTAATTCAGAACTAAAAAGAGCGCCTTTGAGATATGGCTCCTTCCCTGGACGAACACTTTCACAAAGAACTCTACAATAATAATTATTTGAATGACGTTAAAATAAGGAAAATTTTCTTTACAATATTTCTGATTTATTGTTTTATACCAGCGGACCGCTTTGTCCAATCACGTTCCGCTCAAATTTAATATAGCACTTTCGCCGTCAATTTCTCTTTTACTGCCTTGTGACCTAATCTTCAATCGTTCCTTGTTATTAGTTGGTGGACAGCGAGCAATCGTCAGAAGAAACAGAAACGCCCAGCTCCGACGACTCTGCCGTTGAACCGGACTCCAAATTGCTTTCCGAGGTAAATCATCTATTATTGACTTTATAATATTTTTTTGAAATCTGGATAAGTGTTAGTAGTGTCTTTGGCTGAAATCATAGAGTGTCAAATCATTACGGTGACAACTGCTCTCCTATTGGCCAGCCCGAATTCAAAACAATTGACGTGTGTCATCAATGTTTCACTTCAAATCGACAAGTTTAAATTGCGCTTTGCTATAATGGAAGAAAATTGAAAAATTACATATTTAATATTTAATTATAATTACCGATGAAATGTGATTCCGTTTGTTTTGTTGTTTTGCTGTTTTTCCCAATCCACCGAATGGAACTATTGTTAGAGATTATTATCTTTATTATTGTTTATACAGAATATTTTTGGAATGTACGGAGACGCACACGCAGGTCAGTTGTTGGCGCTGTACTATTTCTGCTTTCTAATTTGTGATTTCAGTGCAAACGAGAGTTGACATTTAGAAGTGATACAAGGACCATTTGCCTGATGACTTGCCAGGGATGGATGGCCTTTATGTCGTCTCTATTTCTGCTTATATACTCGATGGTTGACATTTATAAAACGACATTTGACTTGGCAAAAAAGCGAACTGAGCAAACAAAACGAACTTTTGTATGATTATTAATGCAAAGTTCGAACACATAGAAAAAATTTCTTCGACCCGATGGGGCTTGAACCCGCGACCATATTCCACCGTAGTATTGCTCTTACCAACTAAGCTACGGGTCAAGTTATCGAGTTGTCAAAATTCTCCTATGTGTTTTTGTTAAATATTGTACTGGATTTTTCGGTTCAAGTCTCATCAGAATAATTAACTTAAAACTAATTATTATTATAGCTTTTTTATCACTGATTGACGGACTGTGGGTTCAAGTTTTTATTTTTTTATTTCACAACAGTTGCAGTGCCACTCAGGGCTTTAAATCGCAAAGATCTGAAGGGCGCTGCCACTGCGCCCGTCACCCTGAGACAATTATGTTAGCAAGTCCCATGTGCCTGTAATTTCACCAACACCCTTACCCTTCAAAACCGGAACGCAGTAATGCTCACATTACTGCTTGGCAAATAGGCAAGGTGGCAGTACTTCCATGGACGAACTCTTTTACAACAAGCTCTACTGCTGCTGGTTCTTCTAGTTCGTTCTAGTTCTTTTATACAGATTTAATCGGTTAGAAAGAAATACTTAATCATCTTGGTCTAATAATGAAGGCCTTGACTCTCCATTTTTATCGTCATCACTCAGAACAATACTAGGCCGCCTCTAAGTTCTATATCAAGTCTGTACTGTCCACCCAGTTAAGAAAGCCTACACATCCTACACCATCGTCGGGATCCCAGTCGATGTCCTCATCTTGCCGGTATTATCATAGCCCTACCTAATTAATTAACTTGGTCCCATTTGAGCATAGAAAGTTGACAATTAGTTTTAACATTTTTAACCGATGAAACTCCGGCGAATGTTTGTTTGTGAATTGATTTTGATGATTCTTTTTTTGTTGGAAAGAGGGTACCTCAGCAGTGGTCCTATTTCAATTTGAAAAAAATTTCCACCTCTATGGGTGGCAAACTAGGGGATGAATGACTTTTGAGGTCGGTTTTTTGAGATTATGTCAAATACATTCTGCCCTCAGCTAGAAGCAATGGGCTACGTGACGGAAGAAGCGAAAACAGCTCTTCGAGTGACCGGCAACCGGCTGCCCGAGGCCGCAGACCTCTTACTCGCCGGTGGGGGCCACGTCGCTGAAGGTAAGGCCCATAAAGCTGTACAACCATTGGTTTAGTGAGAAGACATTCAAATTATTGTAGGTTATTATATATTAGCTTACACAAATTAATTCATTAAAAAAAACAAATACTTGAATAGAACGTAATGTTTAGTCAACTGTACAAATTTTATAAGCATGGAAGGAATCATTCAACCTTGAACAAAACAACAGTTTCAGAAAAATATATAATAAAATTATTGACATTTATTAGTAAGCCACTGCTTTTGATATATCTTTATTTAATTTTTATCACGTTTGCGATATAATAATATTATAATTAAGGATATACGTTAGGATTTTTTTTGTCGTTTCTTCTTCAAACATCATTGAAATTATAAATTAAGTTCATTGAAATTATAAGTTTGACCCGACTGTATTATGCACTTCAATTTTAATTATTGTGACTTAAATTTTTATATTACTTTTAACATATTTTAATGGTGTAATAATTAAAGAAATTAAATTATTAATAAATGAATTATGAAAAAGTAAATCAATATGGGTATTTTACAAAAATGTCAAACACAAGTCTCGTTAAGGAAAATTTCCCAAAGAATGATTTAGGGCGCACGCTGGTGTTGTCCGAAATCGCTTTTGGTCTTGTTCTTCCATTTTTGCAGTCCACCACCTAATCGCAGGAAGACCGAGAATAAGATAAAGGCTGAGAATAAGATAAAAACCAGGTGTAAAGACGCCTTGGTCTTGTATTGGACAATACTGGTGCACGCTTACTGTCATCATATCTCTTTTCCTCTGGACTAGGCAGAGGCTATGGATCCCCAGCAGCAGCGCTCTTCATGTACCTCTTTGATTTCCTTGCTCGCATCTTTAGACCGTTTGTTCAAGATAATATCTTATGTATTTACTTTTATTGCCCATAGCAATGTCCAGCTCTAAGACGGCTTCAGATATTCCCCAATCTGCTCTACCAAACGACAGTAGTACGTATTAGTGGTTTTGTTTCGGAATGCCTAATAACTTAAAGGTTTAACAGAAATGTCTAACAATACTCCAAATGGTGAGTTGTTAAATTAAAAATCGCCAAAACAAGTTTCTGTTCTAGATTCAAATACGGTTCGTTTCAATTTTACAACTTTAATTATACAGATAAGGTCACTGACCCGATCATAGACAGTTTAGTGATGGCAAGTTGTACTGTCAACTACAATTAATCCACTAATTAATCGTATGAATTAATAATAATAATAATAATAATAACGCACACATTCATACTGATTGATTTGATTTAATTGATTTGTGTAATTGAATCAGTTGGTATAATAGTTCTTTTTGCGATTACGCTGCTGATTCTTACCTTTGAAATCTTCAAAACATACTTGAAAATGTTACGTATTTTGTGTATTGAGTGATTGCAATTTTGCTTTCTTCGTTATGTTCAAATCAATTATCTCGCGCAAAACCTTTAAAATCTTAGAAGAATGCCTTTTTTCGCAACTTTGGAGTGCAAAAATTATGGTCGCACTTGTAATATTATTTATGCTGGTGTATCGTATCATCACCAAGTATTATTTTATTTACTTTTAATATATTTTCAATTTTGTGTTTACAAAAATGAAAGTAAACCTTATATCGCTGCAATATGGTCGCTTCTTGTTTGGAGAACTCAGTAAACATTTCTAATTCGTTGTCGTTCAGCTATTAACCGCTAGATGGTAGCCCATTGATTGAACTTTCAATTTTAAATGAGAACGTCGTAACTTCCTATAATAGGTATTGATGGTGTTGAATTTTCAACGATGCCGACAAGGTAAACTTTAAATTGTATTAACTTCCAGAATTTGTAATTTCTTTTTAAATTTGAAACTACGAACAATCATTATCAAGATTTCATTGCGTTTAAAATTATGAATGTATAGTTTTGGCGACAGCGGTTCTGATAGTAATCGAAGTTTAAGGCATTTCCATTTTTTTTTTCATCCGTGAATAATATACAAGCAGTCCAACTCCCGCCTGTTAAGCGCGGCAATGCGTACATGCTCAGAGCGTAGGATTATCACGTTATTATTTTACTTTTTAATTAATTGTCTTATTATCCAATGGTTAAGATGTTAAAATAAGGTATGAGTAAACAGATGATATCAAATACTTCTACGTGTAATATTTTTGTGCAGCCATTGACTTACAATTATATGGACGTCGAGTCCGCGCTAAAAAATGTCCGAACTTATAGGGCGTTAAAATCGTATACAGAGCGTCGTTCACGCTTTAGTCTTCGTTTGTTCGACTGATAGCGAAGCAAGCAAATTTAGACAGTACTGCGATGACATTACAATTTAAGTTCAACGTTTTAGCTTTTTCATATTCGTTTACATGTCACTACGTTTAAATAGGTTGACTTGGGACATTTTTTTCGTGGTTTATGTATTAGACCCGTCGTCCATTTATTTGTAAGTCAATGTGTGCAGCTATCATTTTTGCACTCGAAAACAGTACAATAAGGCATTTTTGTACGATTTTAGAGAATTTGCGCGAAAGAATGGCACAACCATAGAATACAAAACGAAATTGGCTGACTGAGCTCAAGTAGGTTTAACGAGACCCACTGTTGGCACGCATCTAACACTAACTAACCACTTCTACCGTATTTATTGTTCTGTGTTATTATTATACTGTGTCTTAACGCTGGTACTAAATTTGAACTTGCTACACAAAGGTTATCACCTGTCTTCCACGCGATACAGAATATTTTGCTTCCTTCATTATCCACTTATATATTGCACCCACCTAAACCAAGACTTCATACCGGTAACCTATCACAAACTCGAATTTTTTTTTCCGACATAACGTTTGTTCGAATTTTCATTACACCGAAAACCGAATTATAACGAAACCAGGATATGTTGGAAAGACACGATTAGGTTCGTTTAGGTTAGGTTAAGTTAGGTTTAAAAGAAAAAACATTTTCATCTCAAAATTACTTTCGAGGTTATGAAAATTCGAACTAACGTTATTTCTGGAAAATGTTATTTCGGACTATTAATATCCCCTGGTAATCCCATAATCCATCAGAAACAGCAGAGAGCATCCTCAAATAATAAAGTGACACAATTCGAAAAATGGCTTTTTATCAAGTAAAATTACGTACGAAATAACCTAATATATCGTTTTTCACATTAAATAAATGCCATGAAAGAATTAACTTTGGCATATACGTATATGGCATGTAAATGACATGTTTGTAAAGAGTTCGTCCAGGGAAGTATTGCCACCTTACCTATAGCGTTCCGGTTTAGAAGGGTAAGGGTACTGGTGAAATTACAGGCACATGGGACTTGTCAACTTATGTCTCAGGCTGACGGGTGCAGTGGTAGTGCCCTAAAATCTTTGCATTATCTATAGGCATGTCGCTTACCACCAGGCGCAGGACTTGCCCGTCCCACTTGGTATTAAAAAAAATGCTTCTTAATTATAATCATGTCGCTTCGTCGTGTATATAAAAATAACAAAATCTTCTTGTTTGTTTCAAAACTAACTCTTTGGATACCTCTTTTGGGTGAACAAATCATGTCAGAAATTAACATATTACGCTTTCTGTACCTTATTAATCTGCGGGCGTGTGTGCGTGCATGCGTACGTGTCGTAGTTTGTTAAAACTTTGTACAATGAAGTCTTGTAATTTTACAGCAGACGCTGCGAATCCTTCGACGAGTTCTGGCGCTCCACCGAAGCGTCGCATCAAGCGCAAAGTTGATAGCCGCAGGTATGTAATCATTTTGATTTATCAGACAGCCTCATTTACTCGTATGCTTATCGTAGTTCAAATATCACTGAGCACAATAATTGCATGATAATTATTATTATTGTCTATTTTAGATTCTCGCCTCTCCAGTACTCTAAAAGACAAATTTTGAATAATTTTAATGGGAAATGTGGTGTCCCCGACATTGGGGCAATCATGCTAGGGGCATATTATGGTTACTCGCTTTGATTATTTTCTTTTCTTGTCAATATAATTTGTTTACTTTGTAATTTAAACGCATTTTTGTATTAAATATAATATGGCTTTCACGCCTATGCTTATTTTTATACACTTCTAGCTTTTCATGTTGATTTTAAGTACATTTACGCCTTAGAGACTTCAAATTTTGATATTAGATAAAATATATTGGGCCGTAAAATGTAATATTTTAGAAATATCAAGGTTTTACATATACTGTTTAGAAAAGGCTTAAAAAACTGAACAATACAGTATTTATAACGCATTTTTACATTTTTTCCTTTACACCAATGGAATCTACAGGTATCGATTTATTTTGCCTGCGATATTCGATTTCATGACTTCCTTTTCTTCAAATGATTAATTGTAGACCCATTAGACATGCCGTATTTAATTTGTTTCACAACAATACAATTACTGTTTTTTTTCTATTAGAAAAATGGAAATTGTATTTATTTGGTATCATTTCCTTATGACTAGCAATATAAAGTAGTATTGATTGTTGTTGATTAGGTTTTGCCATCGAGTATATAACCAGAAATAAAGACGAAATGTCATTTAATTTGCTTGAAAACTTCTGCCAAATCATTACGGTGATAACTGCGCTCCGATTGGCCAGGCTGAATTCGAAACAATAAACGGGTGTTGTAATTCGTTTCATTTCAAATCGACAAGTTTCACTTGAGCTTTGTTATAATGGACGATAATTGAAAAATTACGTATTTAATATTTAATTACCGATGAAACGTGATTCTGTTTGTTTTGTAATTAGATGTTTTGCTGTTTCTCCCACACCACCGAATGGAACAGCCCCCATTGCTAGAGATGTTATCTTTATTACAATAAATGCAGAATATTTTTAGAATATTAAATTATGTATATATACTAATATATAATTATGAATAATAAATTAAGTAAAGATGATTTTATTTTAGTTAATTTTTTATTACAATATAATATAGAGTAAAACATTTTCTAAACACCAAAATGTTTAATGTCCTATTGGATTTGCAAATATGGATGTCGAAGCGTAGATAAAGTTTGGCACTTTGTTTTTATAACACTCTTTGGTATACGTTATTCTCTTGCACAGTGGGTGAATGTTTCTTTTCACTTGAGAGGTCGTCGGTTCAAATCGCTATGGCGACATGTATTTATGACTCTAATTTGGTGAAATAACAGACACATGCGATTTGGCAACTTATGTCACAAAGTGTCACTGCAACTTTAGTGGACAGACGTGACGCTCGACGTATCACCAGAAGTCCAAGTTTACGTAGTTACGTACTACAGCAATAACTTAAAAAAACGATGTCCCCCATCCCGCATTGGGTAGCATGGCGGACTGTGGCCTAAACCCTTTCTGTAGAGTAGACCCTTACCCAGCAGTGGGCATGTGACGGGTTGACGATGACGATGTTTATTGCTAGTTATTCTTATCGTTGCACTATCATCATTTCACCATCCATATGTTATTTCACGCACCCCGCAGGATTTTGGCAATTAAGGAGTTTTTGAAAAAGTAAGTATAAATTTAGCGACACAGCCCGGCGCATAATTAGCTATTTAACCCAGTTTATTGCGATTAGATTAGATTTCGAATATATAGCTTACTAATATAACTTATTACTGGTCCCCTCTGCACCCCCCGTGTTACGCCACTGCTGAGTGGAACTGCAACTGGTATGGTTAAATGTGGCTCTTACCACCAAGCGCTCAAATTGTTCGCCCCATTACTTGACATCATAAAAAAAAACTAAACTAATTTTGTATTGAATTGATATTCAATTATTTTTTATGAAATTACTCCACTAGTTATCAATACAAAGATCGACAAATTTGATTAAAGTTAATAGCGACGTCTCTAGCCACGGCTGGTAGCTGTAAAGTTACGTAACTGAGTGACGAAATATTTGCATAGATTTCTCATAGATGGCGCTACGGCTAATAATAATAATATAATAAATCATTTATTCCGACCAACATGGATCATAACAAATAAAATTTAAAATTTAGTACAGAGTCAAAATCAAAATTAAAGTAATTAGTAATAAAATTACATTACAATTAGAATACTATTTTAGATTTAGTCACTAGATGCACCATGTTACAATGGTTCATGTATTGACAGTCAAAGCGTTCAGCAAATATCTTTAGGGTACTGTTGCGGCATGGAAGCAATCTTCGCGCGCTTCAGCTAACATCCGATGCGCTGCAGAAGCGAGGCAGCCGCAACAGCACCCTGATTGCATTATTGCACTGGACACGTAGCGCGTTGTATTGTTTTAACTTATATTTCACCCACAGACTACTAGTATAGAAGGACGTACAAAATGCCCTGACGTCCCTAAAAAACCCGTGCTAAAAAAGTCGTTGAAAACCAAACACAAAGATCCGACAAAACAAGCACATGGAAAAATTCGTGACGTCCGATTTTTTTCTAAGTGATCTTGAGTGAAGATCTTTGTATTAATAATTATAAACTAAACTGTTTTTGAATAACTTACTAAATTCAACCTTTTTCGCACATAGGAGGAAAGCGCGTCAACAAGCCCTGGACCGCTTATCATCCGCCATCGACCGCGACCGCGAAGAGGACGACCATCTCGACACCTCCCTCGTCGAAGAAGAAGAGTTCCTAGTCCAATACAAGTCACTGTTGTAAATTCAATCATGGCAGGTAGGATGTAGGGTTACCAATAATCCATCATGAAGTATCATAAGATAAATATGCCAAAATGCGTAGCTGTAATAAAAACAAGTGTTACTAACAAATTGCATTTGGACCCGGTGCAGTTGTTTATAAAACTACATTCTACTATAGTCTGTCTTTTTTGAAGATTTTTGTAAAGTTTTGAATAGTAAAATTTTGCCAAAAATGACTGCATTGTGAATGTTACGACGTTCTAATGATTACTATTTGCGTTATTTTACAACAACAAAGTTAAAATACGTCTCCTATTTGTATTTTTTATACATATAGTGTATGTGTACATGAATTTTCAAAAATTGTGTCAATTCAAATTAACGCGGCTCAGCATTTGGACGAATAAAATGAGCCGTTGATGATTCAGATGAAACAAAAGCGTAATAACGTTCAGTCGATAGTCGATGGAATATTTATCGATTACAATCACTACCTGCTTGCAAGCGGACAGCCCTTCTCTCGCAATGAACTGTCATTTTAGTCCATCTTCAAAAAAGGCGGACTATATTAAAGCGAACAATTTCATGTGGAATAATGACTACAAGTTCATTTCGGTGTCCAAAAGTAACTTGATGTAAGTATTACTAAAAATTGTCATTTCAACATGTTTCAAAGCCTGGTTGTAATTAATTTTTGATCATACCTACTATAGTACGTAAGAATGGAACAAGTAAGCACAAAAAACCGCACTAATTCCATCATGGAACTAGGCAATGGAGCAATTGCAAATGAAACCGTAGTTTGGGCTAGGTTTACGGCTAAGAAAAATTGCAGATTTGAAAAATTACAGTCAGAATGATGAGATTACCACCACGAATGTATTTATTGAGTATAATCTATAAGGTAAATGACTGATTACTAACGGACATCTCAGACAGGTTACCAGAATAATAACTAAAAAATCCAAGGTAACTGACGGAGGGGAGGGGGATCTAAACAAGGTATGGGCGCACGGCAAACCGTTTGCTGAATGGATGGATTTGGTAATGGGGAATTGAAATAGATTAAGAAATTTTTTTAGAGTTTTTAACATGGATTACTTTTAGTGTAATTTTTTTCTCATACTGATTTGGAACCGTACGGATGTCTATTGTGCTTGCAAAGGTACACACATATTGCATATCTTATCCAGTTCATGCACAGTAAGGTCGTTTACGGGGTACCCCGTTCCGGTATATGGATCTCAAAAAACCAAACGCGTGTTTTGTGCTGGATACAAGCAACCGCCGACTAGAATATTCTATTTTCATACAAATTGCTTTTGCAGCAACCGGGGACTGTGGCCGACTGCAGACTGTGTCGTTTTCATATCAATTGTATTAACGTAAAATATTACTTTCTAGTTGTCGGTTGCTTGTATCCAAACACAAGACACGTTTACAAGTCACGAAAAATAGTGACATTTTCGATACCTCCAATGATCACTACCTACTCAATTTTTCGACCTGTTCTGTTATTATTTCTTTTTTTTTCGAAAAATTCCTGTTTTTATTGCTTTTTTTCGAATTTTGTTTTTTGTTCCTTTATTTTTTTTCCCAAAATTTGAGGAGCATAATATTAAGTAGTAAATAAATACGGCTGTTTGCAAAAATAACAGAAAGTGACCAAAAAATAAAGTGTTTATTGGAGGTATCGTTTTGGCGGGCGGTTATATTTAAATACTTTCCATGAACGGGTTAAAAACATTTAAACGCGACCAATACCTTTACGGAAACAAACTCTCTCTTCGTAAAATCTTTGTAAAAACCGACCTTATTATAATGAATGTGAGCCATTTAGTTAACGAGAAAATAATCATTTTGAACTTTTTTTAAATTTTGAATGCATGTATTAAAATCTTCATTTTATCAACTTCCAAAACGAACCTAGTACTTCCTTCTATCAAGGTTTTTAAATTACCTCCTAAATATAGTGTTAAGGCAGCTATTAACGTTAGCGACTTGATTTACTTGAACATATAATATAATATAATATAATATGTAGAATATATAATATGTATAAGTATATTATATATTCTACAGTGCGTATAAATAGTGATGAACCGACTTTGAAAAAGGGCACGGCACCACAATACTACAGGACTTTTAGAAGTGCCTTTTTTTGTAGTCTGTGAAATATGCTAGTCTATTAATAAGTTTATTTATACGTACCATCTACCTCCGTGCGTGAAACTAGCACTGCAAAGCATTTATTCATGCATTTGCAATTTTGTAGTCTGTGGTCATTGACAGTTAGTCAAAACTATAATAATCCCAAATAGATAACTGGCTGCGATTGTTAATATTATAGGGGGATTTTAATATTTCTTTATCTGCAAAACCATGTAAACCATGTCGCTCATTTAGTGCAACATTGACTTAATTGCAATTTTGGCATAATTGAATTAAGACTTAATTAATTACATATTAACATCCTTTATCCAAATTTGCCAAAATTACAATTACATCAATGTAGCACCAAATAAGCGATGTGTTATTCGTTACAAAATTATTGGACTAGAAGAGGGCATTTCGTAAGGAATAACATATATTATTTCGCGACTTGACATATTAGAAATATCATGCAAAGAATCAGCGGTTTGCGGACTAAGAAATAATTTGAAACCTCACCTAATAATACTGGCTGTAACAGAAAGGTATCTTTCCGAACATGTCCATGGTCGCTGCTGTCCAAAAATGTTTATATCTTATTAAAGTAGTTCAGCGTCATGGCTATAATATCACAAACTATTATGACCTCTATGTTACAAGTTGTGTATACTAGAGTATAGTAAAAAATCACAACGCACTTTCGTGACTTGATAATTCGGTTTTGGTTGACGCGAATATACGAAGGCGGAATCAGTTTATCCACGCGTATGTCGGTCCATATTTTTAATAATAATAACGCACACACTCAAAGCCCTGCACTAGGGAGACCCTGTGTCACGGATGCTATGGACACATAAACAATCACAATTTACACCCAAACTACGAGAGAATTGTCTAATGTAAGGGAATCGAACCCGAGACCTCCGTGTGGCAGTCCAGCATGATAACCGTTCTGCCACAGAGGCAGTTTGATATTGAATCAATATTGACTCGCCCTAATAGGTTTTACTGCCTACAACGAATCCTAATATGCGCCCCAATACCCTTTAAAACTAGGGTCAGATGAATACACATCTGCCGCGCGTTGGAATGTATAGATGACGATAGAAAATGCGCGGTACGAAAGCAATGTAGCAAAGCGTCTAACACGTCCTAACACGACTAAAACGCGCGGTCATCTGAGCAGGTACACTATAGTGCTTATAATACTAAACCAGCCAGCGGTGACACAGACACTGAGCTCGTACAATATATTAATGTCTGGACGCGCGATTAGAAAAACACGCGTTAAAATTTTGTCAACGTAGCCTAAACCCCATCGGTCATCTTTTCCAGTTTCTAGTGACTTAACTTACAGAGATACTTGAATGTTTGCCGGACAAAGATTCTATTAATATCATCGGCGTTACCCCAGAGTAATATACCGTATGTCACTAAACAGTGAAAGCAGTTTATCTAATAAATAACCAACGTATTTCCTGTACCAAATATTTTCAACCATATCGACCCTGGCAAGGTAAAAACTGTGACGTGCATTTGCAAAACATTACAGGAGAGCTATTCAAAGTATTTTTTTAGGAGAAAAATCTCTAATTTTATTTGTTGTATGGAAAATAGACAATTTCAGACCTCACGAAATTTTTCTATGTGCTTGTTGTCGGATCTTTGTATTTGGTTTTTAACGACTTTTTGCCGAGAAATCTATGAAGGTGTTTATTCATCCACTCAGGCAATTTAAAGTTTTTTTTTTCTTAAAATAATTACTTTAAATCGCTCTCGTGTAATATTTTCTAAATGCAAGGTCTATATAATTACTGCTCCTTTGCCAAATAGCCGAGAAACGATCATAAACATCTAGTATTTCTCAGTGTTATCGAGCAACGAAAGTGCGATCTTAGGATAAGTGATTCCATGTCTTCTGTCTCAGTGTTCATCTACCTTCACATAGTGTATTATGACGAATTTATAAACAAAGTACTGAGCTTAGCAAAGTACAAAAAACAACTGTACCTTTACAATTATTTACATCTGTTATATAAATGATCGTGAGTTGATGTGAGCGATACCTATGAATATACAGTTCAATATTTTTGCTTCTTCTATCTCGTCATTGTTGACTTTGCGTAGTATGTTGCCACCATGACTGCACTCTCCGTGGCCGAGTAGAGTTCTTCCCTCGTGCAGGTATGAGGGGGCACAAGGGGCACAACAATTAATGCAGCATGAACTGTGTTGGGGTACCGCAGTCAAATCACTTTTTAGTTAGACTAGCATCCCTGGATCCCTATTTACACATCTTGTCTCTGTGGCGACCTACCTGAGTGCGAAGTCGATTCAAGGGTGCTGAGGTTTTACTGTTGCACACGTACTGACAGTCGAACACCCATAGCCTTTAAGTAAGAAGAATATTACAATTTTTTTATAATATCAAGTGACTGAGTGACCTGAAGGTAAGGTCCTGTCCATAACAGTTGCAATGCCACTCAGAGCTTCAAAAGGTCTGAGGGGTACTGCCACAGCGTCTGTGACCCTGAGACAAGAATTCCCGTGTGCCTGTAATTAACCAGCACCCGTACCCTTCAAAACCGGAACGCAGTAAAGCTCACGTTACTGCTTGGCGGCAGAAATACGTAAAGTACTTACCTGGACGAACTCCATCACAAGCTCTACTACTACTTAATATTTTGACAAGAGCGCCTCCAAAGGAGTTTTTTATGGAGATGAGTCAGGACAGAACAAAGCGCTTTGAAGGAATGGGTGATCTACCAAGTTGCGGGTTTTTTAATCGACCAAAGAAGAACGGTAAAGATTGCACACTCTCCAAAATGTACCTAACTTCGTGGAAGCAAACTAAACCATATACGTTAATTAACACCCTGTATCTTTCACACCATCTCTTGGTAATTCAGTTATACATAATCATGTAGATTCTTATGTATTCCAGTATATAACGTATTACATATTGCATGTTAGTTGTATCGATCTATTTTTTTAAATTATTTTAATAAAATGTTACAATGCATTTCGGTCTGTATTGCATTGTTAACAAAAAAACATTTTAACATAATTAATGTGGATTTATTTTACGCATAATATTAATCTAATTTAATTTTAACTCGATTTACATAAAAAAAAATTAAATGCAAAAAAAATAATTTTCGTTGTCATACTGATTTATGTTAGTTAAATTATGAGTTACGTATTTAACGTAAGTAATAATTAAATTGATGTTAGGATTAATACACACTGATTATCTCTGTTTCACATTTTACTAAAGTTACTAGAGATCATGGCAGTGTCATCAAATGTGTCTCGGGCATATGTATCTTCTATAAAAGAGTTTAACGACATAGGAAACTAAATGTCTACGTAAATATTAACAAATTTATCTCAAGTACATAATCGATATCAATATCTTACTTATGTGCATTGATGATGGGTAATTTAAGAGTGGACTTTAATTCTGATTATCAATAAACTCTACACCGCACTTTAGCTACGCCTGAAAGATCTAAACATATGGGGTTTTGGTCACTTGGGAATGTATCATCCAAGATGATTGTAATTTATGCTGGACAACTTGAGATACACACTGAATCCGTCTAATGTCTGGACTTACATCAGCGTTTCCCAACCTGGGGCTAACTCTCGGACGCCACAGGCGTTTACTTACATAGATCGTGCTTGAAATACTGTCAATTAATGAAATTATTTCTTTGTCGTATTAACGTACGTTTTATTTCAAATAAATTCGTCTTAGTTGGCTTACCAAACATGTACGTTATTGAAATATTTACTATTAATAGTAATTTTTATACAGTGCATTGTCGATGAAAC